CAAGGAAGGTGAATAGTGCGAGGTTAAAAATGTTTAACATAGTCATCTGGTTTATTGATGTACCAGCCACTGTGTCAAATGTTAGAAATAAATTTTATGCAAAGACACATAGATCCAATCTTCCTGGTGGACACGAAAATGTTTTGGACATTGTGCTCACTTTTAGATTTTTTTAAAATTTTTTTATTGATTATGCTGTTACAGTTGTTCTATTCTCCCCCTTCATTCCCCTCCACCCTGCCCCCCCGTCCCCACCATTACCCCCCCTTTAGTTTATGACCATATGTCTCAAGTTCTTTAGATTCTATATTTCCCATGCTATTCTTGTCCCCCCATCTATTTTCTATCTACTGTCTATGCTACTTATTTTCTGTACCTTCTCCCCCCTTCTCCTCCTCCCACTCCCCTGTTGCTAACCCTCCTTGAGATCTTCATTTCTATTAGATTTTTATTTTTAAAGGAAGAAAATTATAGCCTTGGTATAGAAGACAAAGTGAGGCTCAATAATGACAAAAGAGGCGAGTTAAAAAAGAACTTCAGAAATGTTCATAAGATACCAGTCCTTGAACCAGGGCAAGTGGCATTGGGTTAGAGAAAAAGGAATAGGTGGCTAAAAAGTTACAAGTATCTTAACTTTGTTTAAGAACTGCAGTTGTTTTCCCTGGCTGGTGTAGCTCAGTGGGTTCAGAACAGGCCTGTGAAGCAAAGGGTCGCCAGTTCAATTCCCAGTCAGGGCACGTGTCTGGGTTGGAGGCAACCATACACTGATGTTTCTCTCCCACTCTTTCTCCTTCCCTTCCCCTCTCTCTAAAAATAAAAATTAAAAAAAAAAGAATTGCAGGTGCTTAATACTCCCCTCCCTCCAGTTTGCATTTCCTTAGTTCTACACACTTTTCAGTATAACCATTTTCTTTTCCTCAAATGTCAATGTTCCTTCAACCCCTTTTTATGCTACTAAAACTCCTTAACACTTACATTTTTTTCTTCTCCATCACTAGTACAACTATCCTGTTTCTTTACTTTTTCAGTAACATTTACTGGACTCTTTGTACTGTTACTTAATCCATTCTCCTCAGTTGCCTTGGAATCATTACTAATATTTAGTACAGTAAACTTAGATTTCTTCAGTGGCTTCCCTTCACCTATGTGATTAAGTAATAAACTTTTCTTTATATATGCCTTTGTGCTCTGTCCCCTGAATAGCAGGAAAGCATTTTTCTTTCTCTAAAATCTTTCTTGGTGACAGTCAGCACTGTTACCTGAGTACAACTATCTTTGTCTTACATCTTTTTCTCACTTTGTCTAAATCTTTTTCTCATAGCAATGACTTTCAGACTTAATAAATTATTCGTGACCACTAAAGCATGGGTCAGCAAACTTTATGTATAAAGGATCAGATAGTAAATATTTTGGGCTCGTGAGCCATAGGGTCTCTGTTGCAATTATGGGATTCTTGATTCTGCTTTGTGCATAAAAGCAGCCATAGCTAATATATGCAGTGGGTGTGACTGTGCGATAAAACTTTTTTTTTAAACAGGTGGTGATTAGAACCCACTTTGCTGACCCCTGCTTAAGCACACTTTTAATACCATCAAGCTTTATTCATGCTATTGCATCTACCTAGAAAAGCCTGCCTACTCTGCTAAGCTCACAAAAGCACAGCCTTTCTGTTTTAGGGTCTGTATCCTTAGTCCCTAAATAATACTTTTTAATCCACTTGGAATTAAGAGTTTGCAGGTAATTAGACATTTACTACAGGAACCATTGTGATGGGGAGCTACAATATGTGGAAAGTAATCTGCTTTTGAAATTGAATGCTAAATTTTCTTTATTTGAGAAAGGCATAACTAAATACTGAAAAATTTGATGTAGTAAAGTTTCAAGTTTGGGTGGTGGTCTAAATTACAGATTTTTAATAAAATTGCCGACCTTAGTGTATTTGAAGAACAGAACTCTTAGGTTAGCGGGTTTGGCCTTATAGCCATTTCTTAGTAACTATTTGCATAATTGGCTGCTGTGATCAGTCTTTAAAAAGAACTGGGAGGTTAAAGACTGTATGTGTGTGAGTGTGTATATGGAAGAGGGTGGTACTTAAAGTAAAAAAAATTACTGTTATGATTTTGTATAGTTGAATGTCTTTTCTGTAGCCTTCTTTGTGCTATTCATCTGTTTAGCTTCTCTTGTGATAGTGAGGTAAAATTACACATTAACTCATTTCATATTTAGAATCTGAATCAAGATTTCTGTAAACCTCTACAAGAGGGCAAAATACAATTTACTACTTTCTATGTGTTCTGTAGCCTAGCTGGTTGGTCTTAATAGTGTTCTTTAAGTATGACATATAATTATGCAAATGATATTTATTCCCCTTTCTTTTTGATCTTTGTTAGAGTTTCATGGGAACTTTAAAATTCTAATCAAGGTAACCCCGTTGCTACTAGTTATAGAAGTAATTAATATTAAATAGTAGGAAGGGAACTTACTGATTTATATCTTGGGTAGAAGGCTTCAGTGCTGGCACATGGCTAATTTTTTTTAGCTAGGTCATACTTTCCATTTCCCTCAGAAGTCATGATCAGATTTACTACTCTAGAGTTCATAGTTGAGGATAAAAAACTTTTGTTACCAGAAATCATTTAAAATCATTACATAATATTAGAGTAAAACCTAAAGCTTAATGTTGTAGTTTAGCTAAGGAAATGTCTTTATTCCATTAAAGAAATTGGGTGTTTGCAAAACAGTTGACTATTGGATAACATAGGTTTGACCTGCACAGGTCTACTTAAACATGATTTCTTGCAATAAATAACAGCAGTTTTCCATTCACAGTAGAAAGCCCACAGATGCAGAGGGCTGACCGCATAGATGCATAAATCTAGGCCATTTTATATAGGGGACTTTTGAGCATCCATGGGTTTTGGTATCCGTGGTGGGGTCCTGGAACTAATCACCTGTGGGTAATGAGGGACGACTTAAGTTTGTGAGGAGTCAAATGTTATAGTTAGATTAGGGGTTGGTACCCCTGATCCCCATGTTCCAAGGGTCAGCAGTAGTTACTTTTATTTTTATTCTAAAATTGGTATGTTTGCTTTGCTTTAAAGTAGTATAATTGCTAGTATGACTCTTGAGTCAAGTCTGTTCCCACCCCTACCGCCCCTAAAAGAGGCAGGGGAAGGTTGAGGTTTGTGGTGGTGGGATTAATATGAAAAGTTTGTTAATTTTTCCCCCCTCAACATATGATTAAATGTAGATTTAGTCATAAATCCACATTTAACTTTGCATTAAACAAACTTAAAATAATTAGCATTACATAGGAATTGTTGCAAAATGAAATTTTCGTATTTTTCATGAAAAGGAAAAAATGTTGATTATATTGTGTTTATATTTTTTGTAGTCAGGCCAGCCAAGAAAAGGTGTTTGTTTGGATTTCTTAAAATAAGCCACTCTGAAGAGCAGAAACTTTTAAGATAACAGATTTAATGACTATTTCAACTATTCCTGATTGTCTGAAACTAGTGGAATTAGAAATTATTTTGGAGTGATGAATATAAGCACCGTGACTAGAATTCCCTTTATGATGTATCTTTCCTGTTTCCAGTTTAGATTGGTTACAATTCTCTCCCCTCTTAGGCCTCCTAGGAGAGGGGTGTTTTCCTGCTAATCTGTGGGTGGGCATCTGCCCATCCTAGTTTCTAGTTTTTGTTTAATGAGAGAATTGCTGTGATACCTTTAATGGGATTTTTATCTGGACAATTACTTTGATCATTTGGATAATTAACCTATTTCTCTGAATATTCAACTATGACAAATTTTCAAAAGTAAGTTTTTTAGAAGTGTGTTTGATAGTGCCGGGGACTTTTTTTTTCCCCATTCTGCGATGCTATTCGTACTCATAAAACAAAAAATAATTTTTGATCTATATACCCATTTTAACCCTGGGAAAAGGATTATGTCGTATCTCATCTGTAACCCATGTCCAGATATATCCTATCTTAGTGAACTCGTTTTGTTTTTGTTTAACAGTAAGTGGTTGCTGATAAATACAGGAGGCAATTACATAGGATACAGTTATACAGCATAAAATCACTGCTTTTTTTTTTTTTTAAGATGGTGGTTATATGAGCACATGGAGAGTACTTATTCCCAGTGTTAGTTATGGTTCATTTCTGTTTCTAAGTAGTTTTTGTCTACATTAATATCTCCTAGTAGGGTATTTGCTTTCAAGGTTCTATTCTTAGGTTCTTGTTGTATAATAGTCATTTACTGTTTTACTCATCAAGATTTCAAATATCTCCTCTGTGAAGATTTCTAGTATGTTTCCATGTGGAGCTTTTGCCTTCTTTCCTAATGTCACTATTGTTTGGTCATTTACATATTTCCCTTATTGTAAAATACCAAAGTGAGCACATTGTAGATTATCACATTTGAATGGGTTGGAGCAAATAAGGATTGTGTGTTATTAATAAATGGGTATGGGTAGGCATTTCAGCCATATGGATTACTCTAACCCATATGGTATGGTTTAAAGAATAGAACCATTTGCCTATAGCAAAAGTAAAGTTTTCGTAAGGCACTTTAAGCATCAAGCTTCATAAATCAAATTTGACGAATGCTTCATTCAGAAGACTTGGGGTACTTGTTGAAGGGTGATGGGTTGCCAGAAAATACTTGGTTTTTTAAATAACTATGACTTATTACAAGAAGTATCATTTTATCTAAAGCATGATTCTATATAACTTTGCTATTTTTGAAAACAAATAGTTCTTTTGGCAGTTGAACTTTCTGTGACCAGCACTTAAGGCAATCTGAAAGACATGCTTCAGAATTATAGAAAAATATGAGTTGTTTTGTCTGAGTTTTATAGAGCTATGCTATTCCAACTCTACCTCCAGTCCAGCAATAATCAGTCTAGTTCTTTTAGACTTAAAGTGAAAAGCATAGCTTTGAACTGAGCTGTACAAAACTTAGTATATAAAATAATCTTTTTTTTTCCTTTGCAGAAATGGAATCTGTTTGGAATTTGCAGAAGCAAGGTAAGAATGTTTAGCTTACTAGAAATGTTAGTATTAATCACTAGTTACTATATTCCTGAGTAATAGGAATTCAAAGTAACACTGGTGTCTTTGCCAGACACATTCTGACCGTTTTATACCTTGAGCCCAGCAAATCTACAAGTTTAGGTCATGATTAGGATTTAGCTAGTAGTTTTGCCAAACAATCTTAACTTTGAAATTTTTTGTGCTAAGTGTTGCTTGAATGATTTCTTACTATAGAAATCCACACTGATTAAAATAAAATTTGACTTCATTTTTCTGAGAACAAAAAAACCCAGATCCATTTTAGTATTGGATTATTGACAGTTTAGGACTTTTTCTTTGTCTGCTTTTTTTTTTTCAAATGTATTGTACTACTTTTATAATCAGGAACAGCATATAAAGAAAACCTTTGTTAATTGAATTCAATTCTAATCTGTAGGAGTTTGAGGCACTCATTGGTTAGAGGACCTTGTTGCTGGGAATCCATTAGGATGCCGAACTATTAGGTTCAGAAAAAATGGATCACACATGTGTTAATACAAGAGGAATTGGTCTTTAAATTATATTTTCATTAAAATGAGGGGCAGTTTAAATGATGATGCTTATTTTGGATTTGTTATTGGAACATTAGCATTTGAGGATTCCAAGCCTTGTTTTGTTTGTTTATTTATTTTTAACCTTCCTTCCAGATCCCAAAAGGATAATCACTTACAATGAAGCCATGGATAGTCCAGATCAATGAAGGACCAGACTGCCTCTTTGTAACCTTTCTGCAGCATTAGAGCCACCGTTCATGGGGGACACAAGGCTTTTATGCTCCTAGATCTTCAGCGCAGCAGAGGAATCATAAGTAGAATCACAGGATAATATATACAAATATATATATATACATATATATATATATATAGTTATTTAAAAAAGGCAACTGAAAGTAATTAGACTTCTTAAGGAATCAAATTTATTTCAAGAGACTATACATGGTTATTTAATCTCCGGTACTGAATAGTTTTTTTGTTTTTTTGTTTTTCCTTTTTTCTTATGTTAGTTTTTGTTTTTAAGTGTGAATGCAAGTGATTAATGAATACAGACTTGTTAACAAGCGTGGTTCTAAAGTTCCTGCTGTCATCAACTTGGGCAACAAATGACCCACTGGAAAGGCCAATACACTTAAGAGATCTCTGTATCCTGTTCTGTGACTAAAGTGATACACTAATCACAGGGAACCCAGAATGATTCAACATTTTCCCCCACTCTTCCCTTAATCTTTTGGTTTTACTTTGAGCCCTGCGAGAATGCTGGATACATGCCTTGAAGTTTGCAGGGGTGTATTTTTTTAGCAAATATGATTTGCATGTCTTGCCACAAGTTAAGCAACCTCTGTGGGGTGTTGGGGAAATATTTTTTTTCCTTTTATTTTTTTGTGGGGTGGGGCTAGGGGAGGGCATTGAAGTTCTACAGTTCTGGAATAGTTGGTGGTACATAGTTCACTTGGCTTTGGATTACATATTGGACTTTAACAAGTGAAAAATCCATGAGTGTCATTTAAAGAAAAGTTGCAGAACGAACAATTGGCTTTAGATATTTAATAGGGAAAAATACTCCTGTGCCCATCTTTTGATGTAATTGTATAAGTGGGAGCAAAAATATATTCTGCTTTTCAACTGTAGGTGCTCCAGACTTGCTCTCTGTCACTAACACTAAACATGCTGTTTTCCTTGTTTTTCATCAAACATCTAAAGAGAAACTTCTGTACCTTTTTGTAAATTCTCTTTTAATTTCAGAAATATCTAAAAGGGGAAGAAAAATATTCCATGAAAGCTATAAAACTTAATGTTTTTAGCCAGTGAGAAGGTAATAAACCTTGCCGATAGAAAATGTGTCTTCATGCAAACTATACTTCTGAGCTTATTAGCTTCTAATTATATCTTAATAAATATATTTTATTACTAGAGCAGAATGGGTTTTTTAAGGAAAATAATGTGAAATTCTGGAAATTTTCTTTTGGGCAGAGAAGAGCATTAGCCCTGTCTTATCATCACATTGCCATCCTGTTGCACTGCAGCTTGTATATAGCATGCTAAAATAAGTTTTTGTGTGTGTGTGTGCAGAAACTAAGGGTCCAATTTAAGGTTAGGTGATGTTAGTGGCATAAAAACAAGTTCTCTGGCCTGACTTAGCATCACATTACACACACAGAAATTAGTATATCCATGTATGTCAAATACAGGTTAAAATAGCAGGGCATTTCTATAGAGGTATAGTCTAATAAAAATAGACCATATCCCCTTTGCTTAAAAAATGACCAGTTTTTAGCAATTATAATAAGGATGAGTTTCCTTGTTTTGCTGACTATTTGAGACTTTTAACAAGTAGTTTCCAAAAGAAGCTGTTGGACTCAACATAGAATAAGTATCTTTATAGTCTGGATATCTGCCCTGCTTAGATTTTAAAAGTATAAGCATGGATTGCCAATTCCACTTGATGATGTAAACGAAACTTTTTATACATTTTATATATATATATATATATATATATGTGTGTGTGTGTGTATATATATATATATATATAAATATAAAATAACTTATTGTATCAGTCCAGGTTCAGAAACTTGTGGTAGGCCAGTTCCAGATAGTTTCATTTCACCTGTAAACTGTATCACTTTTACTGATATTGTAATTTTCAAATGTATAATATGTTTACAGATGTGCCCTGCATTTAATCTGCCTTGTTCCTATTTTGATTTTTGTTGAGTCTCCTGCCTGCTTGCCAAAAGCTAGGATGCTTCGGGCCCATGTACAATCAAAAGCAGAAGCATCCTTGAGCTTTAAAGCATTGAACAAACTGGAAAATGCAACATACCACATACTGAAGTGAAAGAAATCTGTGTTTTTGTGTTTTTTTTTAATAAAAAATTTCAAAAAGATTTTTTTAAAAAAAGGTATAAGGTTGATTAAAGGAAAAAAGGCTCCAGTTTGTTTTATAGGTTTTAAAGTTCTGCTGTGTGTTCAATTGCCTTGTGTAACCACTTGTCGCCTTAGGGCCAGATTCCACCTCCCACCCCCCACTCTCATGCCCCCTTCCTTTTTATTTTAAAATGTCCGTTTTGCTTGCCTAGAATTTTAAAGCTCTTCTGTCTCACAACTCACAAGAAACTTTCTGGGTTTGTGACATACAGAGGTTGAATGAATATTGATTTAAAAAGGAAAAAAAGAAACCACAGCCCCCATCTGAATTTGCGTTTCAGTCTAGAAGCAACACTTAATAAAATGTCTAGAATAAGCTGTTATTGCTTTCCTACTTTCCTTCCATATCCCTCAGGCCTCCATGTTTAGAGAAGCCAAAAAGAGAATGTATCCCTTCTGTTTGTCCAAAGGTTTTTTGGGAGTCATTTCTAAATGAAACAATGCAACATTTCACTTGATTTATCCACTGAAATTTCCTTGATTATATGGCTAGAGGTATATAGTTAGAAATGTCTCTTAACCTTCTGGGAACCCTAGAGCCCCATCATATTAAACTGTCAGTATTTTGGGGGCATTGGGTTGATAGACTTAATTGCCTAGGTACAAGCAGGACTTTGGGACAAATATCCTTTGTGCTGTTTGGTAACACCTAACTCTCTACTTGTTGCAATCTTTCTCCTTAGGTCCTCACACAATTCCTTACAGAGCACTTATTAAAAAAAAATCTTAAGAGTTGATCTGTTTTCTCATTATTTTTGTGTAAGCTTCTAAACAAACTTCAGCTGTGATTAATTTAGCACATTTAAATAACATTAATGTGTTTTACTGTTTGGTATAAAGATTTTCCTTCAACTCAGAGTATTAGTACTGTAGCATAAACCAAATACAGTCTAGAGGGGATTTTTAACATCCCTCCATTATAAAGACTGAAAGGGGTGTGTGTGTGTACGTACGTACGTGTGCATGTGCGTTGAGTGCTTGTGTGAGGGAAAGAGGGAGATATTAAAAATTAGTAAACGAATGTGTGTAAGACATTAGTATTCAGAGATTGAACTTGTATTTATTTTGTGCCATTTGTTTTCATTACACAGAATAAAGTCAGGTGGTTTTAATCCTTAAAGGGGTAGTATTTGAAAATGGCACTAAGAATGAAATCATGACCTATTTTTTTAATAGCTATGAAGATACTAATTATGGGTGAAGATTTCTTTTAAAATCTGTCTTGATTGTAGACTTCTGTGTCACATACCACTCTCTTGTAGATGTCTTGAATAATTTCCCTTCCCCACAAAAGACAGGGTGTATTTATCTTTCTCTTTATTCACCCCTACTTTACTGAACTGAAGTTAATTGCATAGCCTTTCCTGTTACCTCCCAGTAATGAACTTCCACAAAAAGTGTATTTTTTAGTATCTGTAATTAGCCCTTCCTCCTCTACCTTCTAGGAGGCAATAGAAAATAACTAGGAATTTGTTAATGCCAGTTAGTTTTTTTCTTGAAATAAATGGCTGGAAAGGTTCTCTCCATTTTAGAATTTTGTTAAGTTGCTTACCTAGTCATCACTCAGAATCTGCAAAAACCTTATAAAGAAAAAAAAGTGCTGCATTGTTTTTTCAAATAATGGTTTCTAGGGAAAATATGACAAACCTCAGTTACGAATGTTGTCCACAATATAAAATATATTATTCACAAAACATTACAAACGCAGCGGTAGTTTCATACTTAGTCATTAGGTTTATTGCTAACCCAGTTGGAGGCATTTAATGGTTTTTATCTTTGGCAGTAAACTTTTTTTTAACAAAGAAAAAGCCATTTAGTTGTGAAGTTGAATGTCTTGTACCAAATGGCCACAGGCAAAGAAATCTGTAAGAGGACTGCACTTGATTTTTACATTGTGCTAAATAAGGAGTCATTCTTTTCATGGCTTTCTTCTTTAGAGAAATAGATAAAAGTTCATTTCCAAGGATTATGAGTATAGTTTTGCCACTGGACCATATTTTCAAATAATACATGATCCCTCTTGTATCTATGCTAACTGCAAAACACACTGTAGTGGGACAAGTACATATTTTGGACAATAGTTTTTATGATGGGTCTGTGGACCCTGCAACAGTTGAGGTAGAATGTGATCAGGCAATGTCTTAGTAAGTCCTAGGTAGTCCTGCTGAATTTTAAAAGAGGGTAGGATTTGCTTATCTTCCCAAAATGTTCATATTTGATTAAAGGGGAGGGGCAGAGGACAAGACTAGAAGTATAATAGCTGCTCTAAGTTTACAGAGACACATAAGTTATCATTAGTTTTTAATATTGATGTTCTTTTTTTAATGTAAGTAATAGAGCGCCAGGATTCTTTTATGGTAAGAAAGATGGGTTTCTGCTCTGAGTATCATAAAATGTTTTTAAATGTACTTAAGTCTGTTCAGATGTGAGAACCAGGACCACCCTGGGTTGGTTTTAAAAAATGAATCATTGGCTCTACTTAAATTTCAAAGTCTTGCTACTCAAGGGTTTTCAAAATAAATGATGTTTTGAGTTGTGTGCACAATAAAAACACCCAGTGAAGCATAAGTGGTATGTTGGTTTTGCTTTACTGGGAGTGTCAAATAGCAGTTACGGTCTAGAAACCTATGGAACAGCCAGCCTCGCGTGTGGTGGGATTGCTGATTCAGGCTTCCCTATTCAACCATACAATTTTGTTCAGAGTAATAAAGCCATTTTATAATACTGCAGTATCCCTTTTCTACAGCCTTATTAAAATAGCTACAAACATTTTTTTTCTAGTGCAGTATCCCTTTTATTGTGTATGAAAGTTTCACTCTACAGACCAACACACCAACTTGAGGTTAATTACATAGCTTTCCATATATCTTTTTTCCTCAGGTGCTAAACAAAGGCTCTAAAAAATGGATACTGCTTTGGTAATGTCTGCTTTATTCTTAAATATTTCTTTTGCTAGATGTAAAGATTTGATGTTAACAAAAATGGTTTTAATATGTAAATATGAATGCCTCTAGAGTTTGCTCCTGTTTGTCTATTATTAGTCTGTTTTGTTTATCCTCTATGGAGGAGGATCCTTTCATGATCTTGAATACATTTCATTAGGTATGTTGCATTTTTAGAATGAAAATACAACAGTTTTATGTCTTGGATTAATCCTGCTGCTGCTCTGAGAAACTGAAAATCAAATGTGATGCACTTTTTACATTACGATATACCATATCTTTATAAGTTGCTTTGATACCTTTCCTGTAGCACAGCCACTAACAAAAGTGAATGAATTTTAAAATTCTCTTTGGGAGGGAATCAGTACAAATAACTTTATGGTATTGGCCTATGAAGGACAATAACTTAGGAAAATAAAAATTCTGTTAATGTTAACACTTTTTGGCCTTAAAATGTCTTCTACTACTGAAAAGGGTTTAATTCTGGTTCTGTTTCTATTATTTCCTCTCTCTGCTTCAAAAAAGAGGAGTTGGGAAGAATGGCTTAAAGGGAGTATAGTATCATTGGTTTGTTGTTGATCTCTCTTTTGGAAAGAAAACAATTGTCTACTATATAAGCTAAGGACTTACTTTTTTGTTCACATACAGAAGAGAAGTAATGCTGCCCTAAGCCAATCAGATTTAGCTTAATCAAATCAATCTGAACTCCAACTATTCTGCTTCTCTAGTATATTTTTGCTTAGCAAAGATAAATGAGTATAGTAGGAATGCTACTTGATGAGAGAAAAGTAATTTTTCAAGCACATATCCAAACTTAAAGGATATTAAACCCTAAATAGGAGGAAAAAAACACCAAATGGGATGGAGGAATATGAGAAAGATATTTGGTCCAAAGCTATATGGTTATATTTTGATGTTGCCAATATTGCAAAGCCAAAATTTTAAGTTGCTTATTTAATATGTTTCTTGGCCAGAGATCTATTTTTATATCAATGTGCCTTGCATGTATATTAAAAGGAAAATTGGAAAGGCCATGTAGTAATGCCTGAGATGGTTGATGGTTCTTGCCACCTCACTAATTTTTATGCAGTATGAAATGCTCATTCTATCGCCCAACTGGTGCTCTCTGTTTAAAGTTATAGATCTTGTCACAAACTGGAACTATTTTATAAACTGGGGAAGTGATTTAATTTAATTTTTTTTCTTAGTCTGTTAGTGGCTGTTCTGTAGTGGGAAATAGTAAAGGACTCTTCACTCCCTTACCCTCCCCCCTTAGCACCTTCAAATAATGTGATGACACCATATCTTGTGTGTTTTGAAAAAAGTTTCAGCTTGCTGTTTCCTTTAGTGTTATTTAAAAAAAGTGTTATTAAAAGCATTGTTTGCAAAATTTAGGGAGATAACAGTCCACTTTAATTTGGAATTCTATGTGAGCTATGATCCAAGTTATTGGCTCTTTCCAACCTAAAATTTTTTTCACTGTTAAAGCACCTTGCTTAGAAAAATTTAAATACTTAACATGTGCAACAATTGTCTCAAAGTAACGAACTGTGCAATTCTTGTCATTAAAAAAAAAAACTCTCCCTGATGTGACTTGTTAGTTTCTCTGTATTTCCTGCCAGTGTAAATGTGAAAAGCTTTGCTTGCATTACGTTTTAGAAATGCATTTTGCACACTCGAATTTTGCTGAAGCTCCATGAAAAGGTTAGATCAAAGTAGATGAATAAAGCTATGCACATGTTTTGAAAGTTAATTTGTGTGTCATTACCAAAGTGACCTATCCTTATTTTGTTGCTATTCTTCACTTCACCATCTTTAGAAACATGGCTCAAAATTACAGTACTGGGCTAGCTCGTCCGTGAAAGCAGAAGAGAGGAAAACTGGCACCTCTTTTAGTAAACTTCAGTTTTAAATGAGAGCTTGACTTGTATCTACTAAAGGGCTTCTCTTGAAACAGGGCATTTTTATCAGTTTTACAAACTGCTGGATGCTCTTAATGAAATTTCTTGGTTTATTTGAGTAAAAATAGGAAGTAATTCCAACTGAAATGAAGGAAGGACCTTTGCCACATGGAGTTCTATGACAATTTTATGACTTAAACCTGGTTTAAAGGTAGGGCAACCTTTTTACTTTTATCACTGTAGCGTGAATTTGGTTTAAGGAATGAATGATTGACTTAATTAGAATCATCTTGCTTAAATATCTAAGCACATACTGTTTTAAAGATAATGTGTGTCTTAATTGCCCAAGCTGAATAGAACAAGTGTAGAATTTGGGCAGATTTGGTTAAATTGCTGCAATCTGCATGTATTAAATAGCTTTACTTCACATATATGTGTACTTAAAAGATTGTGTAGATGTACTGGCCAGGTTTTGTTAGTCAATCATCTTTTAAAAGATTGTTTTATAATCTTTGCAGGACCTTTGTAGAAGAGGCTAATAAGTTTAAGTAGAAGATAATACTAATGGTATTTTCCCCCATGCTTCTAGATATAAAAGAAATCCTTGTTTTACAGCTTTTTCTTGTGTATAGGAGAGTGTTATTTCTTTGTCATCAGGTGTGCTCTTGGTGTATGTTGTTGACTTTGAAAACACAGCAAAACCCTTCCTTCTGTATCTTCATGCACTAAAAGTGGCAGTTAAAAACTAAGTCTACTAGTCAAGACTCGAAAGGTGGCCAATAATGCATGCATGGCCTTAAAGGCATAAATGCAGGAGTGTAGCATTATCTTAGATGGCTCTGGCTTCTCAGTATCTGTCAGTAGTTCACTTCTGTTCAGTCTTAGATCATACTGGAGGAGCAAAATTTCTGTGTTGTGTGTCAGCATTTAAGAGCTGAGTTACCTCTTAATCTGGGGAAAGGTTAATTAGTGGGCTACAATTAAGTTAGAGGATGTTTCTCCTTCTCTCTCCCAATTAAAAAAGTTTTTTTTCAGTGTTTGTTTTGCCCAGTTAAAAAGATAGGTTTTTTTCTAGGTAAAAGAATAGTGGCCAGAAATTTACCCTTTTGCTAAATAAATGTTTAGGTATTTGCCATAGCTGTTTCTGATATGGATTCTGAGGAAGTGTCAGTTATGTGATGATCTTCCTTTATTGATGTCTTACTTCACAGTCAGTGTTTCAAAAATATAAATTACAAACATTCTACATCCATACCAAGATTTACTTATTTTATCAGAAAAACAAACTTGAGAACTTTGTAGATCCAATTAAGAGACAATAAGTGTACATTGTTGAATAAAAAAATTTAAAGTTTCTGAAGTGTTTGTGTTATCTTATTGTGTGCTTTAACAAAAATTACAGAAAACATTGTGACATTGATAACCATATGTTTCCAAAGGGCAAAATATATAAATTCAAGTCTTAAATATGCCATGGTCATATGTCATGTTTTTTTTTAAATCATCCACGTTATTAAAGCGCTTAGAAGTGGCATGTTTATTGAAAAATCAGCTGTGAGAACAACTATCTTGCCTTTTTACATGACATTGAGCCTTATGTTCTTCCAATTAAAATTTTAAAAAATTGAGCTGAGCAACTAAGCAACCAAAATAAGTTGCCAAGATTCTGGATTTATTCATAACTTTATTTAGAAATATGTGGTAATGCATATTTGAGAAACTTACTAAATTTGGTTAGCATTGATATATCACCAAGTTTTTAAAAATATATATTGGCAGAAACGTACCAAAATTGTGTCTGTCACTGCATAGACTGATACATTTCGATTATTGCGTTAATGTTATTTGAGATGGGTAGTAATTGAGCTTGGGCTGGTAAGTGACTTGCCAAATCACAAAAGGGAATATGTGGTTTTATTGAAACTTGTCTCTAAAAATTACCAGCCACCTAAGTGATTTATATAAACCACACTAGTTAATTCAGTCTACAACTTTTTTTAAATGACATTTATTGTGAATTTCAGCTAACATTTGGAAGCAGTGTCTGAGAGGAACATAAAAGTCATTCTGGGTTGCTTAGCAAGGTGTCATGCTTGAATTCTCTAGGAGCTTTTAATTCACTACTGTTGGATACGGCGAATCGATTGAATCATGGAAGTCTGGGCGTGAGAACCCCACTCTCTCCAGTGTTTATAGTCTCCTCCATGATGGTCACATTCCAATATATACTGGTAGCCACGGTATCCAGGATACTGGTAGCAAACCCACCTAGAAAATCCAAAGCACATTGGACTATTAAACTAGTTAGGAACTGGTCAACACCCCAAAAAGGCTGTTCAATACAATTGGTATGGTATGCTTTTAGGCTTAGAAAATACAACAGGCACCTTTTGTGAGTATAATATGGCTATAAGTAGTTGAAAAGTAACTTTGCTTATGAAAAAAGGTGTAAGAGTATGGCCAACATGGTTCCATAGATTCTGGGGGAGGAAAAGCCACTGACCTTTTTAAGTTTGTAAAAATTTGAGATTCAAAATTACTAATAACTAGATTGAGACAGCCATACCAATATGTTGAGATAAGAAATTTGGTAAGATACGACCATTGATATATTAATATCCACAAGGTTTACACTTAGAAGAGTTACTTTGAAATGTGATCCGGCCCTGTTTGTGCACTTACGCCCCAGATTGTATCTTCATGGAACCGACTTCATTGTTGACCCAACCCATGGCTTGCAAAGAGGGGTAGTCGTCACAGATCTCCCACTGGCGCCCAATAAAGTTTTCTTTCTCAAAGATGGTAATCTTGGACTCCTTATGATTCTGTAATCCAGAAATTTTTTAAGTTTAGTACTTAATTTTGTAATTATATTTTTCAAAATCAAAACACTCCTGGGTTACAGAAGGAACTACATGATTGTTGATGTAAAACTATTTCAGGCAACATGGAGATTTATGAGAAACATTTACCCATAATCTTGTTTAATCCAATTTAATAACATTTAAGATGAACAAATAGCTGATAGAATACTGTGGAGCAACAAAAGACTAATGAAACTAGTAAAGGAAAAAATTGTAACACACGGCCAACCAAGGGATTCTCTAATGTGGAAAAAGATCCCACAAATTAATAAGGAAAGGTTGCATGGTGTTGAAAATAACCTAAAGTAGTGGATACGAACACTACACAAGCATTAAGGCAGAGACTAACCGGTACGAAGTACAAAAACAGTCAAAACTAGCCCTCTTGATAGAATGTGGGGAAGAGCAATTGATTGGGAAGGGACATCAGGGAACTTTATGGGGTGTTGGAATTGTTCTGTATCTGAGTCAAGTATGGATTACTGGGTATACTAGGAAAAATTCAGACTTAAAGTGAGATGCAAACATACCCAGATAAAGCAGTACACTTTAGACCTATAACTGTTTAGGTTACTTTCTTTAGTACTTGAGGTTTGGTAGGATTTCAAACTAAGATGAGTTCATTAACTAAAATCATGAGAAAATCACATGATATAGAGGAATATTTGGAAAGGTTGTAGCTCAACCTCACTCTCCCAATGTAGGGATCATTTTCAACAAACCTTTGATCACCCTACTTCTGCTTGAACTCTCCAAAGTCTTCAGAAGCATCCTAGTCTGATGCAGAAATGGATAATGCTCAGTATTAGAAACCAGAAGATTATTACAAATCAAAAGTAAGAGACAGCCCTGGCTGGTGTGGCTCAGGGGATTGAGCGCGGGCCTGTGAACCAAACAACCATGGTTTGATTCCCAGTCAGGGCACATACCTAGGTTGTAGGCCAGTTCCCAGCAGGGAGGCAACCATACATTGATATTTTCCTCTCCCCTTCCCCTCTAAAATAAAATCTTTTTTAAAAAGTAAGAAATACTGGAAGATTCACCTATTTCTTCAGTTATCCCACTTACTGAAGGGTTACTTCCCTGTTTCTGAGTAAAATGTTACACAGATTGAGTTTTAACCAGCCAATGATTTAGTGTTTTACAAGGTTCTCACTAAATGTACTTTTGAAGATCTGGGCTCTTGAATATCTACTTCCTGCCACCTATAAATATCCACTTCGACCTTAATGAAACTACCATCTAGAGAAAAATCAAATGGCAAACTTAGACCAGTGTTCTTTTTTTTTTCTTTTCTTTCTACCACATTCCCCACATGCACAGAAGTGAAAATTTCAGAGACTCACAGCTGAACAGATGGGGCGGAAGGACATGAGACGTTCAATGTGGTAGGCATTACTACCGCTCCAGGCATCCCAGCGAGGGTATTCTCCTCTCTCCAGGATAAACTGCTGCCCACAGAAGCTGGTATGCTCATAACCAATCCAGCTGTCAAAGACAATTAGTGGTGTGTGTTTGTGAGGTTCAGAGTCTACCTGGCTTCAGGGAGAAGGCACCTTTGGTTTTAGATGTTAATAGTGGGGTAAAATACCAAGCCAATTCCAATAGAGCCATACGAAGTAATACACTTACCACATGAGGTAGGAAATGAGCTGGCAGCTGCACTAAGCAGGTTTATAGATGTGTTATTTGTTTTGGGATTATCCACTGAAAGGGTCTACTTCATTGGCTTCAGTAATGTGAATTACTAAAGTCAGTCTAAAGTTAAATTTCCTTTCTCTCCAAGTTACCTTATTCTCTACTTGGAGCTCCAGGTTCAGGATAAAATGATTGACTATTGCTTTGGCTCCAGCCAAACCTAAGGAAGCAAAGGGTTGAATAGGCAGCTGATGGATTACCAGCCTCTTGTTTCCTTGTCACTTTGTGGATTCCTTTTCCTCCTGTCATATACCTGTATCTTATTTATAAAACTCCTCAGGTCAATTTTTCACAACCAGACCTCATTTACTGACAACACCTTACAGTATTCCTTTTAAAAGGTTAAAGAACAGACTTTTGGTGGTAACGACTCCTTAGGCCAAAAGAAGGTTTTTCAGGCTGATGATAAAGACCTCAACTACACTGCCAAGAGTCAGAAGATAAAGAAAGAAGGTCTTCCTCACCAACAAGAAATTCCTGGAAGACTGAGTATGAACCAGCATGACTCTCAAGTCCTGTGGTTGATCTCCTTTTTACACAGAGGAATTAGCTAGTGGCGTCTGCTCTGGGACACGCAGGAGAGTAGTCGGAGAGAGGTGCTATCTTGACTGCTTCCTCTATTTTCTGCAGGCAAGAAAAACTCAAGGGTCCTGTGGGGGATCCTAAGTAGTAACCTATGGGTTCCAGAAGCACAGATCTGATTCCTGTCCCTGCCCCAACCCATGATATAAATATTTCTTTAATACCCCCCAAATCTAGTACCAAGTCACTACGAACCTCATGTTCCTTCTAGCCCTTTGAGTTACTAAATTGCATGTGTGGTCATTTCTTTGGAGGTTACAGCAGTAGTGAAGCCTTTCTCCCAGAAATGATTAGAGTCTGGGGGAACATCTTTCTCTCCCAACCCCTACCTTTATGGTCCCATGTCTGAGGGGACCAGAAATAAGGGGCCTGAGCTTCAGCTGAAGTCCATACTCACGCGCCACATTCCACTTTGAGAGATCGGACATTATCAAAACTGCGCTCTGAGACATTTGGGCAGGGGCTAGTGAACTCCATCCTCTTGCCCTGGAAGTTCTCCTGGTCATAGACAGTTATCTGAAGTGAGAATGAATGGAAAAAGGGAGCTAGAATGTGGTACCTCAGGAAGAACAGAGGCCCTGGTTAACAGCTTAGCTTGTGTCTGATGCTGTGTTTTCCATCACTAGCTGCAGCCCAGGGTGCCTGATGACGTCTCTTCCAATATAAATAGGGTTTGAACTCATACCACTGGTTGGTTGGTGGTGTTCACATGCCCAGGCCATGCAAGAGGTGTGGGAGATTGGTTTATGATAGGAATGGTCCACTAGGAAAGATAGCTGGTCCAGTGGACAGACCAGGAACTCAAGGACTTTTAGTCACCAAGTTTCCTGCAATCCAGGGGCCGGGATTCTCGGAGTCCCAGGGGCTCCTTATGCATTATTACTTAGCTTCTCTGGCCTCACCTTCTTTAGGACCCTGAGGTGTGGACAGAGAGTTGTAATAAACCCCTTCTATGCCTTGAATTAGGGTTCTTGAGCCCGGCTAGAGGACAACTCCCAAAGCTGTGAGCTGGCCTCAGAGTTGATCCAACGAAGAAGGAAGAGGTGTTGAGGGAAACCTGAGAATCAGCCACTTCAGGTAGTAGTTACAGCCAAGTTCAGGACAGGAATTAGAAGACCTGGGTCCTGTTACTTATCTGGGATCTGGTGGCAAATATCTCTTCATGTCTGGGCTCTGAGTTTCTCCGCGGTATAATCCACTCTGGGCTCTCAATTTTAAGATCATTTTAGCAATGCAGAGGAGAGTTGAACTTGAAAAGTAGGTATCATCTCCCATCAATCATGGGGTCCCAGGGGCATCCTTCTGTCTGTCCAAATGGGACATCCTGGGAGAGCCTTCCTGAGGGAGCATATGGACCTTGATTGGGCCCTTTCCCTATGGAACTGATGTTTTATTGGTCCGTCACTATCCCACGGAAAAGCACGGCCTGAGGTGTGGCAACATCTCACATCCTAACCTGTTTGGTTCCTCAATTTTCCATGTGATGGGGCTGGGCTTACCTTCCATGGCCCCACAGAGCCTGGCATGGGGTTGGTTTGAGCCATCTTGGTGGTTGGAAGTGTTTCTGGAAGACAGAACACACACCAGTGATGTGGCCTCTGAGGTGGGAAATGCGGTGACGGAGCACAGGGGGGAAAAGGAGGCTCGAAGTCCGTCCGGTAGACAGACTTTGGTTGGGACCCTGGCTCTGCCTCTCGCTAGCTGAGTCTCTGTTGTCATCCATCAGTGAAGCTTCTATGTGCAGAGTTATTATAAGGATGAAAAGCAATAAAGCAGGTAATGATCTCTTGATAAATGTAACTCTCATCCACTTGCCTGCCTCCAGGTACCCCCTACAGGTGGCAGCATTGCCCCAATCTTACCCCAGTATGAAGTCCTTGGCAACCATCTAGCCCAGACCCCTCAGTGTGTGGTCTCACCCTCACCTAGCTCTTCACAGCCCTCAAACTGACTGGCTGTGCACGTACCATCCCCTCCCTACTTCTCTGTCTTCTCAACCTACCCAGCTCCTCAGGGGCTTTGCTGCTTGCCCCAGCTGCGATGACTTAGTTTCTTTCCTGATTTCTAGCACCTGTCACAGTATTGCTCTGTATTCCTATTGACTATGTCCTGGTGAACATCTCAACAGCAGGGCCTGGGTCTCCCGAGTGAGTGTCGTAGCACCAAGCTGAGTTCACTGGGAGGTTGGTAGAGGTGCAGTTGAAAAAGACTTATTGAAGGAGAGTGAGGAAGAGGAATAAAAGAGGATAATAAAAGCTAGCACTTAACAATGGCTCAGTCTGGGCCAGGCCCTGTCCTAAATGCTCTACAAGCATTAATATATTTAGTTTCCACAACCAGCCTATGGGGTAAGTACTATCATTATCCCCATTTTACAGATGAGGGTACTGAGGATCATAGAGATTAGGTAGATAGAAAATCTCTATGGTGGGAAGAATAAAGAGGAGAAAGATAAGGGGAAAGGGAGGGAAGAAAGAAGACGGGCAGGTGGAACAGCCATTCATGGCCCTTCCCTCTGACTGGTATCAGGCCCAGGACCTAGTGCATGTAAATTCTGTGACATATCCTTCCATTCTGAACCTCTGAATAAGCATTTCCCATCTCCTGTGCCCCCATACCTTCTCCCTATGCTCCAGGAGCCTGTCGTTTATTGGAGGTGTACGCCTCCTCAGCCACGATGGCTAGGGTAGTGGTTCATTGCCATATTGGTGACTACTCTTGGGGTGACAAGAGATGGCTGCCTCCATGCAGAGTTCCCCACTCGTCTCCAGCCATCCTAGGAGGCTCTGACCACAAGGCATGAAAACTAAGTCCTCTCCTGGGCCCAACTCTGCAGGGGAAAGAGAGGAAGGGCCGGAGCACCCTTCGGGACCTTACTCACCCAGCTCCCGCTGCACGGTCTGGGTCTCCATCTGGTGCCACTTTCTCTGTGGCCCTGCTCTTTATAGCCCTGCAGGCTCATGGCCTCTGGCCCTGTCAGCACTCTTCTTTCCCTCTGCTTTTGTTCTCCTTGATCCCCAGAGCTTTCTTTGGTGGCTCAGCCTGCTGGGCAGGCATCCCTCCCGCCTTTGTTTAAACTAGGGAAACAGAAATCCAGAGAAGCCCCACTGTTGTTGGAACTGTGGGCAAGACTGGTGGCTGCAGGCCTCGGCTGCTGTGGTCTTCATCTCAGAGCAGCTGGGAGGTGAGGACAAGTCTCTGCATGAGTGCTTGTCCCCTGTCCCTCTCCAGATTCCTCATGCCACCCCGGGCCCTTCCTAAGACCCCATGTCATATCAAACACATGAAAATGCACCTCACTTCCCATATAGGAAACAGTGTTTGTCTTTGCTTTTAAAATATGTGAAGGATTATTACAATTCTGAACTTCATTAAGAAAAAAATGGGTCCTGATTGGTGTGGTTGAGCTGGTTGGGCCTTGTCTCACAAAGTGAAAGGTCACCGGTTTGATTCCCTGTCAGGGCACGTGCCCGGGTGGCAGGTTTGGTGGCTGCCCCAGCTGGTTGATGTTTCTCTCTCACATCGATCTCTTTCCCTTCTTTCTCCCTCCCTTCCCCTCTCTCTAACAATAAATAAATTTTATTTTAAATTATAGGTTATTGATTATGCTATTACAGTTGTCCCAACTTTCCCCCCTTTGCCCCTCCACCCAGCACCCCCCAATCCCTCAGGCAATCCCTCCACCATTGTTCATGTCCATGGTCATGTGTGGGCTTTTTGGGTACTCCATTTCCTATACTGTACCTTACATCCCCGTGGCTGTTCTAAATAAATAAATTTTTTTTAATTTTTAAAGAAAATAATATTCACTCTGTTCTTGGGAATCTTTGTCACACTGTATTTATATATAAATAGGTAAGATTAAATCAATTATGTTTGACTAGAACACATGACTCTCCCTGTAGCTATTTCATTAAATATTTATTTTCATTTTGAAATTTTCTTTTACAAATTTGGAGTCAGTAAATCTTTTTAGGTTTTTAACATACTGCTTTAGGCCCTTGGCAGTCTTACAGGCCAAAGGTCCTGTACCTATATAGTACCTTAAAATGGGTAAAAAGATTTCTCTCTGGAAGTTCAGGGTACTTGGTGAGGATACTGGAGGGGAATCATGGGCTTTCCCAGGAGTCCCAAAGGGGAGGATATGCTCTTTAAGCATCACAGCTGGTGTGAGGAGCAGGGATGGGATGCAGTGGGTGGGGTGGGGGTTGGGGGAGCTTTGAGCCTGGGAGGTGTAGGTTCAAATCCCAGCTCTCCTGTCTGGGAAACTTTGAGAAAACCACTCAGCCTCCCTCAACTCCAAGAAAGAAGATAATATCTGTCTGACACATTGTTGGCTTATTATTACTTGTTATCCTACTCTCCTGCTGGTGACAGATACTGTAGGAAACCTGATAGTAGCTGGAGAGAAGAAACTTTTCCCAGTAAAGTTCTCCTAATCCTTCTGCCAGTCTCTCTAGCCTGTGACTCAAAGTTTGCCAGAGTCCCCTGTTCTCAGAACCAAAATTCAGGGGGCAAGTTCTGGTATGTACAGAAGTATTCATAGATTTCAGCAGAATATTCCAAATGCACAGGTCTGACGCTAAGCACAGTGAACCACCTCAGGACATTTCTGCAGCTTAATAAATTGGTAATGTCTGGGTCAATGGCTAGCAAGGGACAGAGCCGCCTTGGGGATGATCATGACAGGCTCTGGCAGGCTGGTGGCCATGCAAGGGCTCAAGGCATCAGCTGTCCACAGCTGGTGTTCTTCCTCACCTGTTCTCTTCCTCCACTTAGAACTGGGGTCTGCAGGAAACACTTAGTTGGTCATTTGTTGATTCATTCACTCACTCCCTAACCCCTGGACGGGCTTAGGTTCCCCTGCAGTGAGCTCTCTGGAACCCTGTGCTTCTCCGGTTATTGCATGGATCATGCTGCAGAAATTACTTAAGAAACTAGAAATGTTGGGTTCCAAGGAGGGAATTGAGACAGTTGGGACTCAGGAGTAGAATTTTTCACTGTATATTTTTTTGTACTTTTTGAGTTTTGAATGATGTAAACATTTTATATCAAAATAAAATTCTTTTTGAAAATAAAGAAACTGATTGCTTAATTATCTGCTTCTTTCACTAGACTTCATGCTGTGAGGGCAGGGGCTTCATCTGTCTTGTTCATCATTGTATCTTCAAGCGCTGAGCTCATAACTCCTGGCTCAATTAATATGTTTTGAGTAAATTAATGACACCCTATGATGGGGTTTTGTGGCTCTGTGGGCCTTACCCTAGCCATACTGATCTGCCTGTGTTGTGTCTGTGCTTCTTATACCTCAGCATTTTAGTTTGGGGGCTCTGCACCCCACTGGAGAGTTAGTACAGTGAAGACTGATTGAGCCCGTTTTTAACTTTTGCAGAAAAGTAAAGCTTTTCTATGTTTTATTGCAAAGCCCATGCACACATGCACAGAACTGTTGTGTGTTTGCGGGGGGGTCAGTGTTACTGTGCAAACAATCTACCAATATCCATCCAATACGCCCAGAGTCATAAGCAGCCCCAGCCTGTCTTTCCTCCACTTTCCTCAATTGCCTTAAGTCTGTGGAAGTTGGAAAAAGATGAGCAGATCTCCAGTGCTAACTGTCATGCTTCTCAGATATTACCTCAATGTAGTTTTTAACCAAATTCTAGAGGACTCCCCCTTTGACGTTGTCTGGAATGGGTACTTCACTTGCTCCATGTTGGTTACATCCAGCCCCCATCACCACCTCTTTTCAGGAAAGTCGGGACGCAGCAACTCTCAGAGTGGGAATGAAGGGAACAACCAGTTCATTGTAATCCCCTCTCCCAAGCTGGGTTTGGGTCTCATCTGTTCACCCATAATAACAGTAACTACAGCTTACTGAGCGTTTACTGTGAACCACACTGTGGCTCCTTTATCCTCACAACAATGCCATGAAGTGCAGTAGGTCATTACTACACCCATTTTAAGGATGAGTTAATTGAGGTTCTGAGTGGCCAAGGTCTGAGCCAGGAAACCAACTGAGCAGGGACTTGAATGCATGTCTATCTGACTCAAAGCCCATATTCTTTCCTCTGGGCAACTCTATCTCTCTGGCACAAGGTAGGACAATAATATCTACCCTACCCACTGACTAGGGCTACATGCATGCCAAGCATGGCAAATGCTCAGTAGAATTTTATGGATGGCTTAAATGTCCTGGCCTTGCCTCTGGGCCCAGGGAACCTCACAGGATGAGGCCCAGCTTGGGAGGGTGAGGTCACGGGGCCAGGGTAGCCCCTGGACTCAGCACTTTGTGGCAAGAGCATAATGAGGCTTACCAGGCGGCTGAGCAGCACTTCTGTTGTTTGGAAATAAGCAGGACGGGTACAAAGCAAAGGGCCTGGTCAGCATTCAGCCAGCACCGACCTCCCCCACGAGGAACTGCTTCTGGGGGATCTTTATTGCCCTGTCCTTTGCTATCCCTTTAAACAAGAGGAGAGCCAGAGTCTGAGGGACCTGAGAAGGCACACGCTCTGGGAGAGAACTTGGGAGGAACCTTGAGCCTCCAGTTCTCTCCGAGCATTGTCTGCAGTCATCCATTCTCTGCTTCCAGGCGCAGACGAGTGCCCACCTGCTCGGGGTGCTGTTGTCCTAGGGCCCAGCCCCCTAAACTGCTTCCCCTGTATGTAAGTGGCTTGAAGGCATTTCAACTCCCTTGAGTCTAACCGAGTCTCTCGATACTGCATTTCCTCTCAACTGGAACTGGATGAAACTGTTAGAAAAATAGGTACAAAGCGGAACTTACCCTGCTGGGTGATGTTCAGCTTACTCTCTTCACTACAGCGGAGCAGCCCAACTCTGCGTCTCATTTAGAGTGAATTCCAGATAACCAAGGGATATTTTGTAGTCTAAGTAGGTTCCAAACATTTTTTATACTAAACAATTATTTGGCACCCTGCGTTTTATCTGCCAACCCCAGTCTCCTCCCACCTTTGTCTAGAGCACCCCGTGATGCCCCTCTGCCCATCTGCTTCTCTTCCGTCCTCTGGAGATGACCGTGTGGAAAGTTGTCATCTTCAGAAAGCCTTCGCTGGCGTGCCCACCCCACCACACCCTGCGTATATAACAAAGGGGGGAACAGAAGAGAATCAGTAAGCTTTTAAGTGTTTTTCCAAATCTTATTTAATCCTCCCAAATCCTGTAAGATGTGCTTCATTAACCCTATTTCACAGTAGAAAAAAGACTCAGAGAGCTTATGTTACTTACCCAAGGTCACACAGCTAGGAAGTAGAAGAGCCAGATGTCAAACTCAATTCTCTTTGGTAACAAAATCTGTATTCTTTACTATGCTGCTTATAGGACTCCCTCGCTCCCTGTGTGAGCGAGCACGGCCTACAGGGAGTAGCCATAAAAGTAACTTTATTCTGACCTGGCTGGTATGGCTCAGTGGGTTGAGCACTGCTTGCAAACCAAACGGTTCGATTCCCAGTCAGGGCACTGCAGGCCAGGCCTGCAGGCCAGGTCCCCAGTAGGGGGCACATGATAAGCAACCACACACTGATGTTTCCTTTTATTTCTCCCTCCCCCTCTGTCTAAAAATGAATAAATAAAATATTTAAAACACACATCCAAAAGTAACTTTATTCTCATCTCCTCGGTCCCTTTTCTGTTTTCAGTAGGGCTAGTTTGTCTCCCTTGCCCTAGAGGTGAACTTGGGCACCCCTATGATTTTTTTCTGACCACTTTTAGGTAATAAAAGCGGATGGTTATTTTAAATCACAAAGGTCAGCCTCAATTTTCAATTAGTATATTTAGTCCATTGTAATAACCAAAACTTTCATCTCCATTCAAAGGTAAGTCCTCTCCCTGCTATCTCAGATAGGACCTGCGTTAGGACCTTTCCAAGACAGAAAGCCTGCACCCAGGACGAGTGCACTCTTTTTCCTTACTTACTCATTGGTT